TCAATTAAAAATGTTTACTTTATAATTGAGAATTTAATTCTTAATTGAAGATTCTCAATCGAGAATTGAACTTTTAATTCTCAATTGTAATTCCTTTCATAGATAGTATAATTAAAATTCTTAATTAATCATATCCAATTAGTAGACGATTCTTTTTTTTTATTGAATTCTTTTAATTGAGGATTAAAATCTTAATTCTCTATTGAAAATATTCAATAAAGAATTGTTGAAACTTTACTTCTCAATTAAATATCTTTAATTAAGAATCGAGACTTCAGTTTTAAATTAAAGAAATGCATTTTTAAAATTACGAATTTAATTACTTTTAATTTAAACAATTCCATCAGAAATCTATATTTTAACCTCAAATTATAATATTTTGTAATTATAAGTATATTTTGTAATTAGCGATTAAAAAAAAAGGTTTGCGGCTAGTACCGACAAAAAATGCAAGATGTCGATTACACATTAAAAAAAAATTATCTTTACTCAAAATATATTTCTGAATGAATGCAACGCTGGGAGCAAATAAAAATATCATTGAAGCAGTTACTGTTTCACGTCTTCGGAATCGCCTTTGAAATTGCGGTCAAAGCTCTTTGGATGTTCTGAATGGTCGTAATGCTTTTTTCATAGCCAACTTGAGTTTTGGGAATGGCTGGCAGTCACGGAGCCTTCCAAGTCAAACGAATTTTTTTTGGAGGGGGGGGGTGATCAAGCACCATGATATCTTTTTCTAATCGAGAAATCGCGTACAAACTCGATATCTTATTAATGCATATTTATTTATATGAAAAAAGCATAAATGATAGAAAATATAAGAAAAACGGATTAATTTACCATATCTTTATAATTTTCAATACATTTCGTACGTAATAACGTCCGATGGGATTCACATTGAGGAATTTTGCATCGCGGATAAATAAACAGAATCTTTTTTATCTTCTCCTGTCTTACCTCTTTGCAACTGCGAGTTGTTTCTATTATATACAATAATAAATAAGTCTGTGACATATTAATACTTATATTACTTTATATTCTGCGGTTTCAAGCTCAAATCTAATAAAGCTGACAAAGTAGACAATACTATGGAAAAGATTTCTCTATTATAACATTATATTCACTACTATTTATGAACAATATATTTAAATTTAAATCATTAATTAAATATAATATAATTGTATATTATAATAAATATATATATTTATACTATATATATTATAATAAATATATATAAATATATATTTGAAATTAAATCATTATAATTAACCCATTAATTGAATGTGATTATAATTGAAATTTAATTTAAAAAATAACAAAAACATAATCAGATATATTATTTTGAGTACGAATTTACACTGTTAACTCGAAATAAAGTAAATGACAAGATTTACTTACTTGCAAATGTTACGCAGACGACACACTGGGACTTCTGAAAGACCCTAACGAAATTTCACTGACACATTGTCGCACAGTTTAACGACAACCAACTGTTCTTGCCGCTGTGAGCTATCGAAGAGACTTCAAACACCTTTCTAAGATGATCGTAAAATCTATATTTGCTAATTCTAACAATAATAAAGTTTTAAAGTTTCACTTCTTCAGAGACTCCAGTGTATGTATACCCAGGATTAAAATTTCAATTTTTAATTAAATATTTTCAATCGGCAATTAAAATTCCACTTCTCAATAAAGAATCTTCAATTAAAAATCAAATTCTTAATTCTAAATTAAAAATTTGAAAAATTAAAATTTTTTCATTTTAATAATTAAAAATTATCACTCCAGCTTTTTATTGAATTTCTTATCGAAGAATTAAGATTTTATTCCTCGATTAAACTTTTTCCATTAAGAATCATAATTCTAATTATTAATTAAACAAGTTTAATATATTAGGTGGTTGCACATGAAACCGCCCGCTAGTAATAAATAACGTTAGGTACACTATTTCTTCGAATTGAAAGTTGGCAATACACATGATGACCGGTCTATAGAGTCCTGCTAAAATGCCATAAGTGATATTTGTGCGACGCGTTAACATCATTTTGATTGTGCTTACAATGGCAAGTTTTGTTCCAAATAAGTCACGTTTGCGGGAAGTTATGCTCCATTATTTTCTAACAAAAAATCGCCCGCGAAAACGCATCGTTTGCTAAAGGAAGTGTATGCCGAACATGCTGCATTGAGCACAACGTGCAAAAGTGGTTTCGCCCTTGCAAAGTGGTGATTTCTTCGCGGAAAACCACCAAAGAAACTTGAGGACACGGAAACCGCTGCTGAAACCATCACTGGGGATCGTTATCGACTGCAACTGATCCGTTTGAAGCGAACTCTGCACGAGAAGAAGCCGGAATGGAAGAATCGCCATGACAAGTTTGCAGCACGCCAGGCCGCATGTTGCTCAACCAGTCAAGAAATACTTAGGAGTGAACTGGGAAATCCTATTCCACCCGCCATATTCCCTAGACATCGCTCTCTCCGATTACCGTTTGTTCCGGTCGATGCAGTCAGCGCTTACGGCACAGCATTTCACCTCGTACGAAGGAGTCAAAAAAATGGCTGGATGACTGGATTGCCTCCAAAGAACCCGAATTATTCCTGCGTGGAATTCGATTGTTGGCCGAAAGATGGGCCAAGGTTGTCTGTTTCGATGGGCAATACTTTGAATAAACGAGTTCGTCGATTTGCTACCAAACCACTATCTTTTCTTTCGCTCAAAAATTGGCGATTTTATATACAACCACCTAATAATAAGAATTAAGAATTAAGATATTAATTTTCAAGATTATAAAATTTTTAACCGTTAATTTTGCAACTTGGATGAAAAGAAAGAGAAGTTACAACTCATACAGAAAAATACAGAAAAATATTACTGCTTATAATAAATTGGCCAATGATAAATTATTTTTGCCCAGTAACTTTGTTACTCGCACGAATAACAATATAATAAATAATAATAAAATTACTAAGCAACAGTAATTTATTACCGGCCAATTTATTATAGGTGGCAATACTTTTCTGTAAGGGAAAGTAACATCATGGGCCCAGTAATAAACTGTAATTCAAATTATAATCGCAGATGTAACTGTAATTCAAATTATAATCGCAGATGTAATATTCCAATTTAATATTCCAACATTCTATTTTCGTTTTGAAATTAATTTACTCAATGTCACTTTTTCCACCAACTTGCGATACAGTCATATTCTTTTTTAAATCCTTTATAAATATAAATGGAACATTCTATCAGATCTAGAATATGGAAATTTCGAAGCAGCTGAATCTTGGAGAAACTTGGAAAGCATTGTTGCAATATTCTTTTCCCGTTTCAACCCTATAAGCGTGTAATACATTTCAAGAATATTATATGAATATTATTCAATATTAAAATAATATT